ATCCCCACGATTATGTTGTTGACAGTAGCGGACTCTTTGATTCCCAAAGTTAATATAATCGTAATAGACATAATTAATAAAAGTGCTGGTAAATTGATATAAGCACCAGGTATTCGTTCCAGATAGCCCGTTTGATGATCAAAAAGTAGTGGTGCGCTCGTCCATGATGGTGAAAAGTGTACATTAAATGTATTCTCAAAGAAATGAACAAGATATCCTGACCATCCAACAGCAATAGTTGAAGCGCCGACTGCGTACTCTAAAATTAAATCCCAGCCAACAATCCAAGCAGCAAGTTCACCTAGCGTTGCGTAAACAAACGTGTAGGCGGACCCGGATATCGGAATCATTGATGACAATTCCGAATAGCTTAATGCCGCAAAACTAGCAGCAATTCCAGAAATTATGAATGAAATTACCACAGCTGGCCCCGCTTTTGTAGCCGCTGCTTGTCCTGAATTAATTAGATTTCGAATGCTGTTTAATTCATTATCCTAGTCAAATATATACTGTATATTATTTTTTATTTACCTGTGATAACTAATATTCCGGTGCCAATAATACCACCCAAGCCAATCATTATCAAGTCAAATGCACTCAAAGTTCTTTTAAAACCCGAAGTTTCTTTTTCTACTTCGAAATCCTTTAAGGTTTTGATTGTAAATAACTTTCGAAATTGAAAATTCCATGTTGATTCTTGAGGTTGCTTTGGTGCACCTGAGGTGAAAAAATCGTATCCAGACATTAAAAGGTTTTTTTTTTTAAAAAAAAAATACTTAAGAAAATTTCATTAAGTTCTATAGTTAAGAGCAGTTATTTTAAAAAGCTTTATTTAATCATCCTTTTAAAATGTACCTATTTATATGATAATGTGGCTATGGGAAAATTCCGTAATGAAAACTTCCGTTAAAGTAAATATTATCTGCTAAAATTACAATCGCTATAAAAAGTAACCTCTTCATAATTGGTTAAAACGTTCTTTCATTATTTAAATCTTTTACTGCGAAGGAATGTTTTTTTCTTATAATGTGACTGTAGATCAACTTGTTTAATCTAATTATGGCATATCATTTAAAAATGATTGGATTCATTGAAAATTGATCAAATTGATCGCGTTGCGTCGTCGCAAAATTTGATTTTACATTTTTGAAATTATTGACATTTATTATTATTAAAATTTTTCTAAGAATCTTATTTATCATATGATTTGTATGTATGGTTGGTAGTCTTACTTTTTTTTTTTTTTTTTTAACATATTATCATACCTAAATCCTAAACAATTACGAATTATTTTGCCACGATGATTGGGCCAAGTACCAGTGGTATGGCGTTATGTTACGCGGCGTTGGATCCGCCACGAGGGGAGGCACGCATCTCATGTTGTGACGAGCATTCGATAATTCATTTCCGGCAATTTGCTGGTTGGTAGTAGGAACTTCTCTCTCGAATTTAGTTCGTCTTCGGCTACGTTTAATATTTGCTTGCTCAATGTCATCTTCTTGTGCTGGACTTATATTTCTTTCAGGCTCACGGCGAGTTCTCTTATGTACAGGCACTTCATCCAAAGCTTCTGTTACTAAGGTGGCTATTTCTTCCTCGGCATTGCGCTTTACTGTGTGGGCTTCTTCTGTCGTTTGTTCCGTTTGTTTCATGAGCTCTTCTCTCGCCAACCTCTCTCGTTCCTCTCGTTCTTTTAATGCTTTCACCGCGAGACGAGCGGAACGAGCTCTAATGGGTTGTGAAATTTTTCTAGTTAATCGAGGAGTACTGGTTACTTTGGCGGTATTAGTGATAAAAGTATTTTTTTGAGTATCGGCTAGAAACGTTTGAAAAGAAGCAATAATAATACCAAATGATTTCTTAAGTATTGGCATGATTCGTTGGGCAGTAGCAATGATAGTAATTAGGTGATGTGTTTTAACACAAATTACCGGTAATCGTTTGATCAGCCACGTTCTTTTCTCTAGCATCGATTCTTAATTTAGAAGAGCTGGCGACAGCTTGGACGGAATTAATGATAGCATTATTTTCTAGAGTATCGGCTAGGAATGTTTGAAAAGCGGCACCAAATGATTTAGTCACGATTCCTTGGGCAGTGGTAATGAGGTATGTTTTAACAGAAAATTACCGGTAATAGTTTGATCAGCAATGTGCATTCCTCTTGTATAAATCTTTAATTTAGAAGTGCTGGCGACAGCTTGATTAGTGATATCAGTATTTTCTTGAGTAAAGGCATCTAGGAATTTTTGAACAACCAATGATTGCTTAAAATATTAGTCACGATTCGTTGGGCAAAAGCAAAGCGCAATAATAGATGTAATGTTAGCAGAAAGATTTACCAGTAATTGTATGATCAGCAACAATTTCTTTCTCTTTTTCTCCAGCGTAAATTTCTTGAGTAGTAGAAGAGATTGTAATGGGTTGTTCTTCAACAGTCGTTGCCTGATTCACGTTATGTGCAGGTTTTCTGCTTCGAAGTGATTTTAAAACTAAAATACTACAAGTTAGTATAATCTCGATTGTAGGAAGCGACTAGTGATATTTTATTATATTTTAAGCTACCTTTACCAGTTTGTTCATTAGCTGGCTTTTTGCTTTTGCTTTTTTTAGCAGCAGCCTTAATTGGAGTTGGTTGATCGGTAAAAATGGAAATCGTTGATCGTACGGCAGCTTTCTTCCCTTTGTTTTTTCCGGAAGCTGGAATTGGAAGATCTACTGGTTGTTCGATAGCATCCGGCGGTTTATGTTCAACATCAATGATTCTTGCAGTCTTTTTTCCTTTGCTTCTTCCAGTCGTAGCATTAAGAGCGGTAGGTTTTATAAACGGTTGATATGTTGATTTTTTGATCACAATAGCTGGCGAACTTTGTTCAGCATCAATGATTCTTTCAGTAGTAATGATATTTGAGATTGATTGATCGATTTGTCGTTCAATCGCAACCGGCGTTTCACTTACATCATCAGTGTTTCTTACGATCTTTATCTCTCTAGGTTTTCCAGTAGTACTTGAAATTGATTGATCAGTTTTTTTTGTGATATCATCCAGTGTTACTTGTTCAACTTCGGTGCCTTTCGCGGTTCTTCTTCTTTTAGCTTTACCCTTTACGGTGGTTGGTTGTTCCATAGCGACGAACGTTATTTGAGCAGCTTCATTTTTCGTAATGCTTCTATTTCGACTTTTCTCAGTAGCAACGGGAGTAGGCACTTCGGGAGTAGGCTCTACTACGGTAATAAGATCCTCTTGGGCGGTTTTTCTTGTAATGCTTCTTGTTTTTCTTTTCCGAGGAACAGCTGGTGGAGCTTGAGCATAAGAAACGTTTTCGGTAGCGTTTTCGTTAATAAAAGTAGTAGTAGTGTTCTTCTTTGGTGCCATGTTAAAATTTTGATTTTTTATTATATATATATATATATTTTTTTTTTTTTTTAGAGTTTTAACCGGAACATGAAAGGAACAGTATTTTTTCGAGTCTCTCTTATAAATAAAAAAAAAAGGACCTTTTTTTTTATATTGTGTTTTTTTTTATGTAAAGTGTATGCCTTCTTTGGATGATTATGAATCACAAGTTTCTAAACTTAGATTAGAAACCTTTCATGTTTTTTAAAAAAGATCCGAACAAGATAACGAAGATAACGAAATGTTGAAGCATTCGAATTTTCTGAATTTGATAGATAATGTAATGTTATGATGCTCGTGCATTACTATGAGAGAAAAAAAACGTGTCAACTCACTTTTTTTAGTCGGGATTGCAGTTTGGTAAATTCCCGCGGTACCTTAAAGAACTCAAACGTATAAATAAATACGCGATACACTCTAGAAGATTTTATCAAACACATAAAAATAAATTCATTAGATTACCGAGACAATATAGAAGAGCTAAAGATTGATTTTTATGCAATACGTTATATTATAAAAATGAACGTCGCTTAACATTCTTTAAAAGTTGTTGTTAATGGATTAAGCGAAAAATGATGGTCGTAATAGATGTTATAAATTACATTCTCAAATTTATTTCATAACGCGCAATATAAACTTTTTATAATCCTATAACAATTTATTATACTATTTTTAAAATCGCATGGCACAATTACTATTTATCAGAAATTATTTTTTATTGGAAGTATTTGAAAACATAATGCATTTATTTGGTGACGCGAAGAGAAAGTGTTTTATATAATTTCCGTAAACTTTTTTGAAATGTTAAAATTTCGTTTACTTCCATTAACGCAAATGAGATATACCTTTATTAAAATTAAAAACGTTACAGAGATATTCGTGTAAAAAAAATTAAGTATAACATCATGAACCCATAATACGATCAACCCCGTACGCGTTTTTCTTATGAATATTTTTTTATTTTAAATGTCAACGAATCAAGAAACTATGTTCTCTTGATAAGGTTTTATTAGCAACAAAAATTTTATAATTATCGTAATTATTACTATTATGATTACTATTTTCTACGCTCATATTGTTCTAATCTTCCATTGAAGCAGATGGTTCGATGCGGTTCTTACTATCTTAAAATTTGGATCTATAATATTTTTTTCTGTATCATTCTTTGTTATTAATCTAATCAAATTTCATTCTTTTTAAAAGGTGGTAATTTAATTGTTTTATCTTATCATACTTGAAAGCACTATTACATTTGGAATGATAAGGGTCCTGAGAAATTTTTTGACTAAAATAAAAATCATCAAAATTTCCCAGAACTAAATTTTCCTAGCAATCATTATTAACCATTTTTTCCGGCATTAGCATTATAGCTTGATTCGCATCTGACAAAAAAAAATATAATTATATTGCACTTTTCAATTGAAATGATTTATCCATATATAAACTACTAAATTGATTCTTTTTCGAATCACCAAGTTTATTTATCGTATAGAAAATCAACCATTTTAATTAATTAATTTTCATTTGTTGTTATAAAGTAAATAAATAATCATTTTAAAATTCCAACTTCCAATTAATACCTAAAAATATTTTTTCTTCGGTTCATTTATAAAAAGTTGACGAAACCCTTCAACACTGCCAACATTATACACAATATGGCAAGTAAATGTGTATAATGATTCACACATGTTTCAAATCCAATCCAAATTCGTTTTTGTACAGCCTCTACAAAACTTAAATCGGCTCGTTTCCCCCTAACATATGTGGCATCAATTATTTCAAAAGGTGATGAAGCACCCAAAAATTCCTTGGCAATTTTTAACCCTGAAGTGAACCCATCCTCGTGAAATCCATATTTCGTCCAGGCTCCTGCAAATGTTGTGGCAAGGTTTGGAAGATTTTGAATCGTGTGTAATTCAGCTTGTGCTGCAATTGTCGCAGGTGTGTATTGTGGATGTTCGTATAACCATGAACCTACGACCTTTGATGGATCAGGTTCGAAAATAGGATTCAAGCTTACAAGGACAGGTCCGTAAACTGATTTATCGATTGATTGTAAAATGTTCATGTCATAAGTTCTAAAGAAAAAAAAAATGAAATTTCTTTCATTTAATAAATGAGTTACAAGTACTTGATTGACGATAATTAAATTCTTACAAGGAAATTTGCTCAACATTAACGGAAGTTTCGGTAGATTTAGTAATGTAATTCCAAGACGAGAATGCAAGACGATTTATCGGCATCAACTATCAAAAAAAAAAATTTGCATCATTGTAGTAATCGTGTTAATTTCATTTCGTAGATTATATCGATTAAACCTTACCGAAAGATCGGAATGTAGCACGGCGCGATTTTGACTAAAACGAACACTCCCCAAGATTCGCCTTTCATCCTCGGTAGCTTGATCGCCCAAAATCTGTAAAGCCTGATCGGCGTGTGTGGTAAAGATCACGTGATCAAACTCGTCACGTCTACCGTTGCTATCTGTGATGGTAATGATTGGTGGTGAGGAGGGATCCGAGGGGATATATGGTTTACGTGTAATCGATGTAACTTTCGTCGATAAGCGTACATTGTGAATGTGTGGAGAAATTGTTTCCACATATTTGCGACTGAATAAATTATTATAGTAATAATATTGATTATTTTAGTTTCATCTCATCGAAGAATACACGATCCAAGTTGTCTAACCTTCCATTCTTTACGGTAAGCCATTGAATACGATTCAACACTTGAAGCAAACAATGATTATGCATAAACTGTATTAGTGTCAATGCAGGGAAGTCGAGCGCGCATTTGTCCGGTGGAGTAGACCAAATTGCCGCAGTCATCGGCTAAAACGATCACACGTAAATCACGTGTTTGAATAATAAATAACGGCAAAAAAATTTTGCTCAAAAAAAAAAAAAAAAAAATTTTAAAAACGCACTAACAAATAATTATCTTTGAATGCCGAAGAATAACCATGTACTTTTAAATATTCCCCCAAATTCATCTTTTTTTCGGGATGATCATCTTCCAATTCCAATAAATCAGTAGCATGAAAATTAAATCTCATAATATCATAAACGGTTTTCCACATTTCCAAGTTCAATAAATTCTTTGGTTGTACAAAGACTGTAAATAAATTTTTCCCTGCCCATTCGAATTCTCCCTTATTCCTTGATACGCTAAAACTCATTTCAGAGGGTATATATTCAACGTTCTTATATTGAAAGAATCTAAGAAGGTTTGGGTATGTAACAGGATTAAATACTATAAATCCAGTGTCAACTGGCGTTGTTAGTGGAGAATCAGAGGATTTTGTAGAAGGAACTGTAAAATCAACTGTATGAGTATGACCTCCCAAATAATCATATTGCTCGTAAAGGGTAACGTTATGTGAAGAGTGCTCTGATAATAACCATGCTGCTCCCATTCCAGCACTTCCACTTCCAATTATTGCTACTCTCTTACGACTTTGTTCTTGAAGCATTATTTGAAGATTGGTAGAAGGAAAAAAAAATTTTTTTTTTTTTATCTCAAAATCATTTAATTTATATCTCAATCAAAAATTTTTTTTTTTTTTGTGTTTCAACTTTTGATTATAATAGGCATTGCGTTTTAAAAAATCTGCATTTAATTTATTTACTTCAACGTATCCATCACATGATGATACTATTCACGTGATTGATTCGAATCACGTGAGTATCGAATCGAAAAAGTCGAAAATTGTTAATGATCTTTAAAGGCATTAAGATTAAATGCTGATTCCACACCTTTTTCCTTCCTGTTAACTAATTTTACATATGTAACCTCCCACACATCTCTTTTTAAATATTGATAAGTTCCTTCACTATAAAGAGAATTAGAAACTATGTTACCATCAAAATGACGGAATGTATCTGGAGAAGGAATTTTACAATTGACATTGATACCGATTCTTTTCTTATGTAGTCGCCTCATCTCATTGATAACCGTTTGTTCGTGTGTATATACTCCCAAAATATTTATACCTGGAACACTGTTTTCGCGAAAATGTCCATCGGATAGCACATAAACTTGTCGTGGAATAAAGGTAGATTTGATGTAAGCGGCAATTTTTGTTGGAATATTCACTATAAGATACCATTGCTTGCAGACGGATCGAACGTTCATAAGTTCTCTCATTGGTAAACAGTTGAAAATATTATCGATAAGTTCCGGTGTTGTTAGAACTAAGGTAGCACATGATGAGACTTGTCGAGGTTCCAGTGACTCTTCGAGGTACATCATTTCGCGTTCGCTATCTGTAGAGTTATATGGAGTGCTCGCACAAGACTCATAAGACATTTTTACTTTACGCGTTTTTTTTTTTTATTGCTAAAATTTTTTTTTAGAAAAAAAAATCGAATGCGCGTATTAGTATTATTAATTGATAAAGAAAAAAATATTGTTAATCATATAAAAAATTAAGGAACAAATAAATAAATACTTATAAGCTTTTAAAGAGTAGTTTTTTTCAAAGAAATAAGATCGTGAAAGAAATTAGCGGTTAGTTAATTAACCAACCTTACCTAAAATTTGAATCGACCAATCAAAACTAAGAAAGTTAGTTGATAAATACAAATTAGGAAGCATGTGACAGACTTAAATGCGTCATAATTAATTCTGCAGGATGAAAATCTATTATCCTCTACCTAAAAACAAAAAAAAAAAACAAAAAACAAAAAAAACAAAAATAAATGCCCTTGTAAGAGAATTCTTTTTTTAATAATGTATTTCCCAGAAGGAAGTTCTAGTTCTAGTTCTTCTCCCTCAAAGGTTTTTTATTCACAACCATTTACCAGTCAGTTAAAAGTGAATGAAAGTTCGCAACGGAGTTCGAAACCTAACACTCCTGTGACCAAAACTTTCACCACTTCTACTGAAGTTATAGTGCTTTCCTCAGATTCTGAAGAAGAAACTGAATTAGTTAGCACTAGTAATAAAGTTGTGTCTAATAAAGCTAAAGGCAAAGAACGAGAACCTGGTATTGAACGAGGTTTTGATACAATTTCTTCTGTTGATACCATTAAATTAAATGAAATTCGTGCTGGTAAACCACTTGGAGTTCATAATAAAGGTAAAGGCAAAGAACTAGATCATATTAAAGTAGATCCAGGTGATGAACTTGTTGACATGGAAATTGATTCTGACAGTCCGCACCCTACAAAAAATATTCCGCAGCAGTCAAGTTATGTTAAGAAAGTGGTTGAATTTTTTAAATCATATGATTACACGTTTGATATTTTTGATATTGTAATTGATTTATCAAACAAATATCAAGAAATTTATCAAGGAGATAGCGTTCGTCTACGAAAGTATCATAATAATCCTTGCGTTTTGCTTGATTTATTAAAATCTCATCTGTCTAATAAGCTTGATTTGGGTAAAAAATTTCAAATTAAAATTGTTTTTCGCAAATGATTTATAGTTGATTTTTTTTTTTTTTTTGCTTGTTTCTTACTTTATAGCATACATTGTTTCAAATATATTTAATTTTTTTTTTCTTTCTTTTTGGTATTAGTGAACGATCATGAAGAAAATTTTATTAATTTAGATAAGTTAGCAAAGGAATATTATGAAAAGCTAAGAAACGCAGGTAAGAAATTACCGTGCCATTAAATTTTATTTTTTGTAGCATTTTTTTTTTATAATAACAGTATTAATCTATCTTAAAAAATATTAAATACACGTGTAGAAATAAGTCGACAGGGATTATATAGGAATTCTATTCTAAGTAATAAATTTCATTCGACCGCTCAATCCCTTAATCAAGAAAGGAGGTGCTATTTAACCTCTTTGCCTCAAAAACGAAAGAGGAAAAGAGACAAAAAGAGTCAGCAAATCATCGAAAATACCAAGGCTTTAGATGTACCCGAAGCAGATCTTGTCAAAATCATGGGTTCTGCATTACAACCACCTCAAAAGAAAGTAAAGACTGGTGATGTACAGAAAACGGATCACCAGTCGATGATGAATTCAATTTCTCAAATGACAGATAACCTTTCCCTTTCGTCATCAACAAGTGGAGGTTGCAACTTTTCCACATCAGCTCAAGGGAGTAGACAATCATCTGAGAATCCTAATATGGCAATAGTGGCTTCAACATCAAATGCGAGAAAACACACTGTAGAAATTGTTACCGATTCATGCCCACAATCAGAAACCATTTCATACGAAATCAACCCAAGTCCAGTAAACAACGTCGAGATGCGTAGTCTTAAATCTCGTGAAATAAAGCAACCCGAGACGGAAAATCGTTATAAGATTATGATGGCTGATGCCATACAAAAATTGGCTATCGCAACTCTCGCTATGAAGCATAATCCTGAATATGGGCCTTGTGAATTAGAAAGCGTTGTTAATAAATTTAAGATAAAGAAATTAGGAAAAGATCCTAAATTAACGAAACAATCCTATAGTAATACGTTGTTGGAAATCTTTAATAATGGTGGTATAGACACGGTTATGGATCGACTAGAAGAAAATCTGTCTTCCCATTTAAAATGTCAACCAAAGGATGAGAAGAGAAATAGGAAGAGATCGGCTGCTGTAAACGATGAACAGTCAATGAATGAAAAGTAGGAGAAGTAAATTTTATGTGACTATTCATTTCGCGTGTTAATAAATAAACATATTTTTATTTATTTTTAAATCAATTAAATTAGTAAATTTAGGAAGAATCTATCCTTGATTTTCAATTGCCAAATTATCTAATAATTTAAATCATTTCTCAATAATACCACTTCTCTAAAAGTTTTAATAAATAACCATAATCTCTGTTGTCTGTCTTCTTCTATTACAGGATTATGATTAATAAGTTGCTTAGGTTTAGAAGCATTTGGTGATGATATCGGTGGTGGTAAAGGTGGAGTAGATATTGATTTAACTCTTTGTAAATTATCATAACCATCTGTTTCAAGAGAAATGATGAATAAAGGTGAATTGATCAATCAATAATAAAAGACAAGTTGATTATACATACTTATCCTTTCATAAACAAGTTCCCAGCCATCAAATGTATTTTTCTTTGTATTATAGTCAGTTTTTTCATTTGAACTGTAAACGCTGATGCTTTTAACACTTTCAATATCACTATCACATTCAACCCATTGTTCTTCTTCCTCATCCTCTTCGTTTCTTTCATACCTCTTTAATAAATCAACAATCCCTTCCCATAACCATTTTTCAGCAAAATAAGGATTACCTCTAGGTCCTTCCACAAATCCTGTAAATATTTGCCATAATCCCGCATCGTTTTTATAACCCAATACCATTAATAACATCATCCATGTATACTTGAGTTTATCTTGATCAGTAAATAGGTTGCTCGAATATACGAATCTATCTATTGGATGTTTTAATGGTTCTTTATTCTCATATGGTAGGTACCTTGGCGGAAATGGCAATAAGTGAAGTTTTGATTCTATGATCGGAGCTATTTTTGATATTGTTGTCGATAAGGGATACGTGATTGGGGATAACATATAAAGGTGGGTATAACAAAATAATGCTATGATACTTCCTTCATTATTTATCGCCAATAAATCTCTTAACGCTACAGCTACCCTTTCATGTGGATTTATCTGATTATTATTATTATTTTTATTTTTTTTTTAGAAGATTTTTTTTTTTTTTTTTTTAGAGAAAGAAATTTTAACGATTAACAAAACGCGAAAGAAAATGAAAAAGATTATTAAACCCATCTGTTTTAAGATACATACTGTTGCGTTCAGTCTAATATCAAAACAAACGTTATTTTGTACTATAGTAGCAATGAAATCCTCTTTAACACCTGTAGGAGGCCACATGTTTTGTAATAATTGATCAAATTCCTTTTTGGCCCTTTCACCCGAACTTTCTGGGTCCTTAAATAATTTTTTCCAATACCATCTCCTTAACTTTGATATTCTATTTTCAAAATTGCTTAAACTAGTTTTATGATCTCTGTGTAAAGGTTCCTTCTCTTCGCATGATTTATTATTAAAGATCATGTTTAATAACAATTCCAATTCGTTACAATCCCATGATTTTTCAAAATAACCTATTAATAAAGCCCTATAAAGATTTTGATTTATTAAGAAATTCGTAAAGAATGAATAATTATGAAGGTTGATAATTATATGATTTGAATATGGTAATATCATAGTCGAAAGTAAATTTGATGGACGTATTATGATCGGCGATTTCTTCTTGTCAGGTAAATTTATTGTAATATGAGTTGATCTGAATGAATTGTCTACGTTGTCAACTAGGTGACCTAAATAACTCGTGATGATTTTTTGAGCATATCTATTATTATTAAACGCCAAAAAAAAAAAAAAAAAAAAAAAAAAAAAAAAAAAGGTTAACAAGGTCCAACTTGAAATAAAACCCCACCTCCCTTTCCAAGAAATTAAAAACGAATGTATACAAATCAATTGAATTTGGTTCCAATTTCACGACAGTGTCATCAACGGGAATTGGCCTATGATAAACCCCTAACGTTTTATTATAATGTAATGTGTACGCTTCTTTTAAAATCCTTGGAAAGGTTAAAAATATTTCAAAAGGGTATGTCAATATAGCATATAATAAACTTTTCATCGTTAAGGCGTATGAAGGTCCTGATGCGGTAGCGACCATTTTCTTTTTAAATTGAGATTTACTCGGAATGATATTTTCGGATGGTAAATACTTATGATCCGAAAGTGATGGATCCGCGTACATTACGATCCTCATATCCAAATAACCTGATTTAGGATCTTTACAGAATGCCTTGTAAATTCCTAAACGATCGTTAAATGGTGACACATGAAAAGATCGTTTCATGGTAAAACTCATATCATACCTGTTAAAAGAAGAAGTTTTGATTTTAAAAAATTTGAAAATAATTAAATAGATGAATTAATAGATAACTAGATCACTTGCCCATTTCGAAATTCATGTTCGGAATCTGTATCTCTGTTTAACACGTATAAATGTTTTTCTCCAAAAGTATTATTAACTTCTAATACAATAACTTTAAGTTGATTATTTTTATTGTAACAATAATGAAAACTAACCGGATTGAAAGCATATCCTAAGAATCTTGGCATTGTAACTAATTCAAATCTACATAAATCATCCACCGAAATATTCTTTTTTTTTTTTTTTATTTCAACAAGAGGCATTATTCATTAAATTTGATCAGGAGAAATAATTTGTGTAAAAGCAAATATAACTTACATGTCGTTTGATATGCCATAATAATTTTTCTTTGATTGACTTTATCTGTTTTTTTGGTCTTTGCAGATATGGATTTTCTAAATTACGATCATCAACATTGATTTTTCCGAGATAATCCTCATCATTTATATTTAATAAAATTGAACTATTATTATATCCGATTTCAAACCTATAATTTATTAAAGAAATAATTGAAATAATTGATAAAAGAAGATCCCTTCAAAAATCAAAAAATCAAAAAAAAAAAAAAAAAAATTTCAAAAAATCTTTACAATTTCTTTCCGATTTTCTTATATTTCTCTTGTTCTAATAAATCCAAATCAACTCCAACAAATATTATAGGATATTTAAAAGAATGATTAATGGGCCAAAACCTCGCATGATAAGTTTTACAAAAATAAATCTTTTGATGTTTTTTAATTTGATCTAAAGATATTAAGGATGATTCTAAATTTTTACATATAAAATAATGTAATAACTTAATTATACATATTAAAAATACCACCCAAAGTATATTCTGACTTGGAAGTGGAAATTTAAGTACATAAAATAATAAACCTGTAGCAATGATATATGAAAATATTGACATTTTATTATGTTAAAAAAAAAAAAAAAAATTTTTGATCCGTTATATTTATATTGAAAATCTTCATGGTAATACAAAATGCAAAGGGTAATTTAAATTAATGCAGATACGTATCACACGGCACGATAAAAAGGAAAATAAATTTGTTTATAACGGACAAATATCCCGCGGGAGATTTCTTCCTGCTTAATACTTGTTTATTGAAAAAAGGAATGTGTAAAGATGGAACATAAACACGAACATTTAATTGGAACGAAGTTTCTGTTTTCTTTATTTGAACATTAATAATATATGATGTGAGTTCTGGGATAAATGATACCTTTAATTATATGCAGATATTACTATTATTTATTACCAGGCAACTACAAGTGTTTTAACCATTTAAAGAACAATTGTATAACGATGTTTGATCATCATCCAATACATTTTGTGAACCCGTCACAACCTAATTTACCGTGATACACTTTATACCCTTCGTTCGATTCTTGTATTCGAAAAAAAAAAATTTTTTATTGTGCTGATCAAACGCTATAAAATTTTATCGCGTTGATCGAGATAGTCGTATATAAATTTCGTTCCATTCCCAAAAAATGGATATATATGGAAGAACTGAACCCTTTGATCGATCCAGGAGATCTTTAATCTATGAAAATTTGGTGCGTCAATTTGGGGCAAAGATGAAAATTTTAAACTGATATAGTTGAATTTAATAGTTATTCGGAACGATGTGCCGAACAAGTGAAATGATTATTAATTATTATAGGTTCTAAAATTGTGACTTTTTGCAATGGAAAGGAGCGGAAACTGCCATAAAAATCTATTTTACTTTTATATGCCAAATATGAATTTTTAGGCCAACATACAGTCAACTCTCTCTAAATACACCCCTTGGGACCATAGTGAAAATTTTAAAAAATGTGTATTTAAAGAGGGTGTGAATTTAAAGGGAAAATTTCTATGCGTTAGAGAGTAGAGAGAGTTGACTGTATGTTCATATTTAGCATTAGCTCATTTTTTATTTTTCCCGGCAGTTTCCCCCCATTTCTATTGCTTGAGGCAAGTATTTCTTTCTATTGGTTCAAAAATATAGAGCAAACGAATCATAGAAATTCATTGGATATCAGATATCCGATTAGAAAAATGAAGATAAATGTTTGTGTATCTTGGAATTGAACTTTCTAATTTAATCCATTCTTTTTTTAATAATGATAGTCACCAAAAAACGGATAACATGCCAGAAACAAGGATAAATTAATTAATTTGATAAAATGTCAATTTACTCGATTGACTTTATATTTACTATAATATAGATTTGTATCAGTTCTGATATAAATGGTGAAACATTCAATGTTAACAATATGCAGCACGATTGGGGCAATTTTGCAAATTAATTTTATCTCTCTTACAATGGATTGGCTAATTAATGAGTGGAAAAAAAAAATTTTTTTTTTAATCATTTGCGGTATTTGTGATACATATACATATATATATGTGCCGGATTTTATCTTCTCACCTTTTTAATTAATATCAATCATTTTTTTGTTTGTTTTTTTTCGCGACATTTAATTTAAACATGAGTTACGAAAAGAGTCACATTCTTCATTCATCAAGTAAAGTTATCGCGACCGTTGATTCTTACTTTCAATACTCTAAAGAAATTCTTATTTCAAATTCATGGGAACCACTGCTTCACTTTGGTATATTTTTTTTTTTCTTTCCATTAAAATTTTTTTTTTTTTTGTTTTGAAATTTGCCGAATCCCCTTTCACTTTCGAAATTCAACCTTTGAATGTGTATTAAGAGAATATATATATATATTTATTTATATATTTTCCTTACAATCCTGATTCTTCAACGGACCAGTGATGATTTATTAACGAATTAATTTTATCTCCTTATAAATAATCAATTAGCTCAAAGTACCCTTCTTTCGCTAATGTCACGAATTGATGTTGGACATCTTCGCGTACTTAGTAAAGATCATATTTACGAATTTGGTCCAAAAGATTCACAATTGAAAAGTGAAATCAAGATCGTCAACGATTCTTTTTGGATTCGATTATTGTTATTGAGTGATTTGGTATGTTATATATTTGAAACAGAGAATGTTTTACAAGATGAAATTACAATTGTAATCTATGCATACTCTCATGTCGTATTTGTCGTACAATTTGAATTGGTAACACTAATTAATACGCGTCATGTGATATCAAAACTAACGACTCGCAAATGGGAAACTCGCGTTATAAAAAATTTAATACATATATATATATATATATATTTATTTATTTCGATTTAATAGGGTTTTGCTGAGGCATATATGTTAGGAGACGTGATTTGCGACGATTTGGTTACTCTTATTAAGGTATTCATTAGCAATTCATTATTATCACACCACACCCTTCACAACCTATTTGTCACCCTTATATTTCACGCACCGTATTAATTCAATTCCAGATTTTCGTAGCGAATAGGTCACATCTTGACGACCTTTCAACAGTTCCTTCATATATCTTTAACACAATAAATTATGTTATGAATTCTCGTTTCGCCAATACAATTTCCAATGCTATTAATAACATTTCGGCTCATTATGATATAAGCAATGAAATGTTTGCCGCATTCTTAAGCCGCGATATGACCTATTCTAGTGCCGTATTCGCAAGTGAAGAGGAACCTTTAGAGGAAGCTCAATATAGAAAACTGAGAATGATGATTAAAAAGGCGAAAATCACCAAAGATGATAACGTTTTGGAAATCGGCACTGGGTGGGGTTCCCTTGCTATTGAGGTAATTATCATGATGATGTAATTGGAATGTTTAATTTCTTTTTTTTTTTTTTTTTTAAAAAAAAAAAAAAAAAATTCCTACTACTCTTTAGGCTGTGAGGTTAACGGGATGTCACGTTACAAGTTTAACGCTTTCAATCGAGCAAAAGAATCTCGCCGAAGAACGTATCGCGAATGCGGGATTCTCGGATCGTATCAACGTGCTGTTATGCGATTATCGCAATTTACCCGCTTCACATCAATTTGATAAAATTATAAGTATTGAAATGATTGAAGCGGTTGGTCCACAATATCTATCAACATACTTTGAATGTTGTGACAGATTTTTGAAAGAAAAGGGGGGTATTGGTGTCTTCCAAGTTATTACCATGCCCGAAACAAGATACGATAGATATTGCAAAGAAGTTGATTTTATAAGGAAATACATTTTCCCAGGTAAAAAAAAAAAAAAAGATTTTGAAATCATTTTAAGTAGGGTGAACGATAAATAATCATCATAAATAAAATGAACCTTTTTTTAGGAGGTCATTGTCCAAGTGTGACGACCTTGGTGCAAGCCATAGCCAAAGGTTCCAAAGGCAGGCTTATTGTTGATCATCTGGAAAATATTGGACCTCATTACGCACGTACATTACGATTATGGCGCGAAAGGTTCCTGTCAGTATTTGATGAACTCATTCATCCTGCTTTATTAAACAGTTGGCCTAATATGAGCCCAAGTGAGATTGAAATATTTAAAAAGAAATGGGAATTTTATTTCGCTTATTGTGAAGGAGGTTTTGTTACCAGAATTTTAGGTAATGTTCAAGTTGTCGTAACTAGAGAAGGTAATGAAGCTTTCTTGGATGGTATACCTTTATAAATCAAATATAGGAAATTAACTCTTGTAAAGATTTAGTATTTATGATTTTTTTTTTTTTTTTTTTTTTAAAAAAAAAGTGGGGGTGGGAGGAAAAACGCGATCTTTTTTTTCTATGCTATTTGTATTATTTAAATCTATTTTCTTTTTGTTTTGTAATATTTTCATGATAGATAAAATAAACGAAAAAAATTCTTATCGTATTTCAATAACATAATCTCCCAGTCATTAATGGAAGAAACACATGCACCTTTCTTTTTTTTTAAAAAAATCATCAATTCTTTCTTGTTTACAAAAAAAAAAAAGAAAGAAAATAATGATTATTTCAAAACATTAATTTATATTTTGAAAAACGTAATTTTTATTGAAATTAAATGTTATGTGACTCTATATATTGTAAAGAGAATATACAGTATAAATATGTTAATGCTCCAAAAATAAATTTAAAGTATTAAGCATACAATAAACAGACCTTTACTGTAAAGATGAATGAAAATTTGCTTTATCAAGCAACGAAAAATTTGAAAATGTGCAGAATTTTTGAATTTCTTTTTAAAAAGAAAATAACTTTACTTTTTAGGCTGTAAAATTAACGGGATGTCGCGTTTCAAAAGCTTAACAACTTCAATTAAACAATCACAATGATAAAGTTCTATTCTATAAGGTAAAATTTACTGATATACAGTTACACTGCTTTTTAGGAGTGCAAAGTTTACTTATTATGAATAAAAAGGTTCAAAAACAGTCGGATCTTTTCAAATGGTCGCGTAAAATTTTGCTAACATCTTGCAATAGAAGTTGCTTAGAACTGAAAGACTTAAGATTAAATAATTATTTCAATAAAGTAAGGTATTATTTTTCACGATTTTTAGGTATGGACGAACAATATATATAAAATAAGATATAAAAAGGGTTAATGCCTTCTGCACCTTATCATAATCCTTTGATAAGAAACATAATAGGAAAGATTCAGCCCTAAAAACATATTTAACATATTATCTAATCAATTTGTACACATCTCGATGGAACACGTGACGCATGAATAGTCCATGGTACTGGGATAAAGTTCACTTTTTTGGTCTATACATTATACTATAAAATAATGACATTTTTTTTTTTTTATTTTGATTCGGATTGTCGCATTATTTCAATAATCTTATTAATCTTTGAATTTTACAATGGAATAAATCAAAATAATATAATGAAGACCGAGGTATTCTCCTCTTTTTCTTTTTTTTTTTTTTGAATGATATATATATATTATAGAACTATATACACGAAATTAAAAAGAAAATTTTTTGTAAGAAAGTAGCTTTTATAATATCGATAATGGGATGAATTGATTAATATAGAAAAAAGAGAAAAAAATTTACAATTTATTTACTTTATACAAACAATGGACTCCGAAAAATTATATAAAGAGTCGGTGCGAAACCATTGTAAATAATTCGCCATTAATTTAATTTGTATATACGGCGTTTAAATATGGTTTCAAATTCTTTTTTTTTTTTTTTTTTGGTATTCTAACAGACTAAGCAAATATAAATATCTTTCACAAATAACGTAATTATACCCCTATTTAACTTAACCATCTGAAAATTAATCACATTCTCGTTCCTTTTGGCTTATAGTTATGCATATATAAGCAAAAAAAATTATATTTAACTTACCAAACACTAATTCAAGTTTTTTTTTTTTTTTTTTTTTTTTTTTTTTTACATGGTTGATGTTGCATTAAGAACCACTCATTGGTTCTACAAATTCTCTAAATAACCAAGCCATCTTTTCCTTTCCTTTTCCTTTTTTTTTTTTTTTTTAAAAAAAAAAAAAAAAAATAGATGGAACAAAATTTCCCTAATTAATTAGCTTTGGAAAATAATAATAATAATAATGTAAAGTTTTTGATAAAAAAAAAATCCTTCACTCCAAAAACACATCACGACATTCAACACGCTAACGAACAGTTCTTTGTTCTGCTTGAGGTTGTGGTGAAGGTGTTCCAACCGAATTATTGCCACCATTCGATGTCGACACACTTGCTGGGCTTACGTTATTTTGTATTGGACTATTTGTAAGCAAAATTTCAAGGTTATTATTTTGACCGTTTGTTAAAATTTGACTCGGTAACATTTGAGGATTCAAAATCATATTGTGCCTCATCATAGGTTGTTGTGGTCTCATCTGGGTCGAATTAATTTGTCTAAAGTTAGCACCATTAGTAATAAAACCATTTGGATGTACCATATTATGACGTAAAGCTGCAGCTGCGCCGTTCGTAGGTACCTGTCGAAGAGTTGGAGTACCTTGTCGGAGATTGATCGGAAGAACCATGTTATTAGGTCGTGAGCCCAAATTAGCAGACCCGTTACCTGGTCTAAGACCTAAGTTGCTAGCGCCATTAAGTTGAGACATATTATTGGAAATGATATAGCTTTGACCATTTAATTGCATTATACTAGTTGGTTGTCCATTTGCTGGAATAATGCCGTTCTGTTGAATCAAAATAGATTTTATCGCGTCTTGTTAATTAGGCTTCAGCGTTATTATTATTAAAATCGATACATCCGTTATAACGTACCATTCCCATAAGGTTACCCTGAACAAATTGACCGTTAGTACCCAATGAGACATTTGGATTCACATTAATCGTCTGCGAACCATTATTACCAAGAGATGAGTTAGTGTTCACATTGATATTATGTGATCCATTAACACCAGAAATATTTTGGTTCATGAGTAATTTTTGGAGATTCAATACATTCTGTCTTACGTTTGATGATCCGGGTGTTTGTGACATATTATTCGGTGTAAATAATCCATGAGCTATTATATGTTTAGTTGAACTACTTGATTGTATTCCATTATTCTGTCTTATACCGGGTGTAGAGGGAGATGGTCCCATCCCAGATGAAAGAACCATTTTTGATGGATGAACTGAATTAGAAGGTACGTTTAATCCTACGTTTGGCAATGTAATATTATTCTGTTGCCTCGGTGCTTGAGCCATAGATTGACGTAATTGATTATTTTGTATATTATTGGTCTGTTGAGTTACATTGCTTGTAGAAGAATTCGAAGTCATGTGTTGTATGTTTTGTATGTTTTGTGCAAGTTCAGAGCGACGCAGATTTGTTATATGTCGCATGGTCATAGCTGTCTGTGAATTTTGATTGCTTGGATTTAATTGACTGAAGTCTTGTGACGTAAACATAAACTGTTGAGCCGCGGCGCTAGTGGAATGAATCGAGGTATTTATTGTCTGTTGTACTCCATTTAATCCATTCCCAATACCCATCCTTTGAGTTGGTTTAATCAAATTAACATTATTGATCTTTTGTGCTTCTACTGAGTTCACAAGTTTTGCTGATTCACCTGTTGTTACATTCACAATTTGATTCGACTCATTAAATAAGATCTTGGTTTGATCTATACTCATCGAAATCTTTGAAGGGTCAATGGCTTGCCCCGAAGTTGTCGTCAAACCCTTTGAAGGATCGATCATTGATGTCGTACCATTCACATTTCCTTGGTTAGATGACGTATGTCTAAGTCCATCACCATTTCCTTGGCCATTTATGTTATTATTATTTGATGACGCTGGGGAATTTATTTGTGCTACTGGTGTAAGTTGAGCAGTCGCATGATTTTTAACAAGTGAGCTATTAATTAATCCTCTATTGTTGGCCACAACATTATTAGTTTTAGTAGAATCATCAGAAATCATTCTTGGCATCGGACGCATATACGGAGTAACGTTGTCACGATGATTCATCGTAGCCACCGTAGGTCTTATAATAAGACCGTTATGAGCACGTGAATTAGCGATAGAATTGTTGACTAATCTTGAGTCGCGGGTTGCGCGAGGATCGTTACTTAGCCGTGGCGTTGGAGGATTAGAATTCAGGCGGCTTGTACTTGACTCGGCATTGACACCTTGATTACATTTCACACCATTGAAAGTACGTGGGTCTACATAATGTGAATCAATGTTTGAGGGATTATTAATATTTGCACGTGAATCTGCCCTTTGAACCATATTGACTGTTTTTGGTGTGATAATGTATGGTTGTTATTTTTAGATATAATATTATTTCACTAATATGGCATTCGATCAAATGTATTCATAAAATTACCTGAATCTGGTTTTTGACGAGAATCTTGGTTGTTCACGTTTACGCGAGAATCCGCAGTACGAGATATCGAGCTCGCATAACGAGGGTCAAGTATTGTTCGCTGTTCTAAAATTTGCTTAGATTCTGCATTTGCTTGTTGAGAACTTTGGGTGGGATTATTGTTTACTGTTAAAGCATCCAGGCTCTGTTGCTTTGTTGGTGAGTTTTGTTTTTCTTTTTGTATTCGACGATAAGTACCAAGATTTTGATAATCCTCCTCTTTGAACAAGTGAAACCGAATCATACTAAAAACCATTTTTTTAAAACAAAAAGAAATGAAGAAAACATATTTTTAATAAATTTTATAGGATATTTTTTGTTGTTTATGTTGTAATACAAGAATAATACATACTTCTCTGTCAAATCTTCGACTTTATTATTATCCTCCTCATCATCTAGGTTCATCTCATCTTCACTGAAGACATCTTCGGCTCCATCTGAATCATATTTGAACCTATCGTTGGTCTCACGAATGCGTTTATAGGAAAAGACGTCAAGACGATCGATAATCCTACGCCTACGACCTCCTCTACCAAACCGACTTCTGAAAGCTGTGCAAGATATTGAAGTTCGATCTGTTGGTTTGAGAGAATCAAATTTTCGGAAAAAGGATGCAGCCGCTGGTTTTCGTTGAATAAGATATGGGTACTTATAAAAGAAATAAAAAAAGTACTGTTATTTTATTGAAATTTTAAACTCTTGTAAATCGGACATATAAACTTACATCTGTTATGTCTGCCATTGGATATTCATCATCCTTCTTCGATAGTTTGATACCAGATTTTGTTTTCGTTGCGCTATTAGAAGAAGTAGAAGTAAGAGGTATGGGTGTTAGGAGAAAATTATAATAGAAAAAAAAACACAAAATCATCTATGCGAAGCTTACCCCATCAAGTCCATCGTAGATGATGATTTCCGGTTCCTCTATTAAGATAGAGTTGCAAAAATAGCTTTGAATAATTTGTTAAAAGGTCTTTGACCAACCAACAAATGAATCGAGTATATACCTTTGGTGGCTCATGGCTGGTTTCATTCCTGATACCCAACTTCTTACGCAACTCTCTAACAGTACATTCCTTTTCGAAGATCTTACGATCCAATTCAATCTTCTGCTTCTTGGTTTTCTCTCGGATCTTCACGTTGACCATTATATGACGACCGGAATGTATATCTTTCCTTATTTTCCTTAATTTATCAAATGAAGCTGTCTCTGTGCGACGCGTTCTCCTTATTGGTTTAAGTTCACGACGACGGAAACAAGTCCATGGATGATCTTCTTCATCCTTACCCTCTTGGGTCTGAGATTAAAACATAAACATTTATTGAAGCAAAGGTTACCTAATAATCATGGAGACCTCTTGACAAAATTATCTGACAAACCTTTATTTCAAACATTAAAGGACCAACTTTGCGGAAACGTGACATACGTTCCTTACGTTTAGTTTTCCAATAGGTATGTATCATTTCAGCTTCACCTTTCAAGTCCTGTAGTGACTCTGGTAGACATGCTTCACAATCTAGCCAAGATGGAAGTAGTTTTTTCGCCTATTACGATAAATCAACCATCACGGAAAAGACACGTTATTTTTGATTGATTCTTTTTTTTTTTTTTAAAAAAAAAAAGGATTGATTACTAACCAATAATTGAATTTTGTTCTTTGCAACGTTTTCAAAGTGTTGCATTATTTCCTCAAACTGATCTTCGGTTAGAGTTGAATGTGTTTTTTCTTTATGCTCTACTAACCACAGATCATCTTTTTCATCCATACAATACAAGCATCCTATACACTCTTCAACGGGTAAAGAAAATTTAACATATGTTGAAGGTTTTTTCCACTTGTGTGTTTGATATGCATCAGCATAATATGAAATACGTCGACTCGACGTTGGTACAGGAATCGTGGCTTTTCCTGAAGCTGTAGATCCTTTTTCCATATATTCTGTTCGAAGTTTTAATGCATTTACTAAATGCCATTCCTATTATCAAATTCAAGATGGGGGAAAAAATAAAAAAAATAAATAAATAAAATAAATAAATAAAAATAAGAAAATTCACACGTTGAAAAATATTGAGAATAACGATTCATTCCTTCAATTGAATCTTTTTAATTGACCACCAGATAGGATCATATTCTTTAATTTGAAAAATACATGTTACAACAATTTAATGACATAATCGCCATAATCGTGCCGCAGCAATAATAAAAGAAAAGACACTTTTTCATGATTTTTTTTGTCAAGAAAATATTTTTTTAAAAATTTTATTCACCACTAGGAAAACTTAATCCTCTGAATCTAACTATGGTATTTAAGACTTTGAATTTTAAAGCTATATAGTACATTTTAGCAATGAAACGGTAAAACGAACCTCTTCCTCCTCCTTCTCTACCCCTGTCTCTATTTCTATGCCTGTTCTACTAACTGGTATACAGTCCTCTTCGTTGATTTCGCCTGGTGTATAGATTCGTAGTGGTTTTTTGTTGTCAACTTTACGGTGACGAAACGACTTTCGATTGATTGTGCTGTTTGGTAATGTCATCTTGGTTGTGGCGCAGTCTGATGAGTAAGTGTGTTTGTAATTTACAAGGGTTTATGAGCTTATGAAAACAAGACGAGAAAGCTTTTTAAAAGAAGCAGAAGCAAGCGCAAGACCAGAGAGGTTATTTTATATTAAGAAATTCGTAGAGATTATAAAAAAGTTGTAATGTTTTTTTTTTTATTGTTTTTCTGTTCTTTACTCCTTCGACTATGGGAATTATTTTAATAGGTAGTTTTTCGTCCCCTTAGTTACTTAGTCGATTGTTGGGGCAAGGCAAAGCAAAAAAAAAACCGGGTACCACGTTAGGTACCCCGTCATGAATATATAATTCCAATGAGTCATAAGTACAAAGGGTACGACAGTGTGACACGGTTTTACGGTGACGTTTTAGTTTGTCAGACTCAGTTTAATTACACACCCCCTTTATCAATATGATCAACCATTTTATCAAATTATTATAATACTAAATAGGTGTTTTATAAGCAAAATTATTCTAAAATATACTTGGGGTGTATATATCCAGATTCGGATATTTTTGAAAGAATTGCGTAATTGCGTAATAAGATATAATTATTCTTTTTTTTTAAAAAAAAAAAAAATTCCTCGAAAGGAATCACGGATCTTTCATCAATGTTAATACTCAAAAGGACAAACGATAGAACTATAACGCATAAACTCAGATAATCGGAAAGTGAAGTGAGATCATATGATATATACTCACCGTAATTTTATACCAAATTCTATATATTGAATCGTATAAAAATGTATATTTATACTCACCCAATTACCTAATTAATTGATTGATCAAATTTTAGTTGTAAAAAGTTCAAAGAACTTTTTTTTTCGTAATCCAGACCTTTTTTTTATGTTCAGTAATAATATGTATTGGTAACCATAATTCTCTTCATGATGCAGAAAATTTCTAGCAAACTATGAAAGAATTCTATTGGTCTTTTCAATTTAACCTTAAAATAAGATTCAATCGTTGCGAATCTTGATAAATCAAAGATGTACTTGCTAAATGATATTTTTATTTTTTTTTTAAAAAAAAGGTTAATTAATTGAAAAAAATAGGAAAGACGACAATTTGTAAAAATCAAAAAAAACCCACCAACAATGAATATCTCACACCTAAATCCATCCGATGGATGCAAATATATTATAAGATAGAGTATGAATAATAAATCGTCATTCCTTAAAGAAAACCCAATCACAAATAAAAGCACTGGGAACAAGAATGTAAAGTCATAATATACTTAGAATTACTAAAAGAAAGACGTGAAAGGAAAGTTTTGACATGTGAGTGAAAAGCAAAACCTAAAAATGTAATTGGAATTACACAACTTTTACTAATTGAATAACAATTTCTGAAATTAGGCAAAAAAAAAAAAGAAGAAAAGAAATCCTTTCAAGGTCACATCCATTCTTTTTACCAAAAATAAGATTCAAACTGATAAACCTGTAAATTCAATATATTTCTTTAATTTCATAGTCACGTAAATTCTAAGGAACTATAACATAAAGACATTACCTAAGTACCAAAAACTGGTAAAAGATTCAGATCGGATAACTTCAATCATAATTCCAACACTATGGTCGGAATAAGTCACAGACTAGCTCAAATCTAAAAATTATCGTAGTAAATATCATATTTCGAACCATTGATAAAAATTCCTTATAGGAACCAGAAGACGTTAATGCCGCAGAACCCATTTTGAAGTAAAGGTAAATCACGTGACCGGTATGACTATTAAATTGAGATTTAATTGGAAAATGAGTTAAAATGCAAACATATTAAGTATTGTTTGCTCGGAAGACTATCAAGCACAAAGTATGACAAAACTCATTGAAATACGACGTCCGAATGATATTTCTTATCGATGATCAAAGTCGAGAGGGTATAAATATTAAAGAACCCAAGAATGAGTCAACACTATATGATAGGATCGTTATAAGAAATAAATTATTATCATGGGTATGATTCTTGTGTTCGCTTTATAATCATTTAGCTTACCAACGTATCGAAAAGCAAATTTGTTTAGACTGAGAACCACCATAAAGTTCATAATTTAATAAGTGGTAGAAACTTGCTACACTTAATAGCAGCGGTCCAACAAAAAGTACGTGGAACAACTCCGGGAAATTCAAAGTGGCCAAACTATTTAGATAAAAAGTAATATATAAATATAAATATAAATATATATATATATATATATATATTAAAATTTTTTAGAGGAAAAATGATTAAAATATTAATTAAAACATTTGATAATAACAACAGGCTTTGACCTCTACCTTCTTTTACCCTTCAAATGAGAATTTCATATTCTAAAATATCATGCGTCTAAAACTTTCTTTCATTTTATAAAGGGGTATAGAAAAACGAGCATTGCCACCAAGCAAAACCCAATAATACATCCTATTTATCCATGTCTCTTTACATCAACAAGCATTTAAAAGTATAATTAAGATTTCATAATAAGTCTAATAAATATAATAAAAAATGCTTGAATTAGGGCAAAGAGTTTTGAAAGAAAAATACATAAAATTTTTTAACAAGACTGAATGAGCGGATCTGATTTATATAGGTGGCTTAGGCACGGGTTCTAAAAGTTTCTAAAATTATGTTACATAACAGTATGATCTACAATTGATTCAATTGATTAGTGTCCTTGAACATAATGCAAATAATGCTTTTTGACATCTTTTATAGTATTGTAAAGAATTTATTTTCAATCGTTGTACTGACAGAATTTTAAAGAAATTCTCTGAAAAAAAAAAAAAAAAAAAAAATTTGAAACAGAATTTTATAACAACGACTAACTGAAACAAAAAATATCTCTTTTAACTGAAAAAATGAAATTTACTTATTTGTGTTTTTTATGTCTGAATTAAATGAACTATTTAGTAATGTACCAGTCATTTTCATCAATACAATATAAAAAGGAACTCTAAGGATGTTAATATATTCTTGTTTGTCGTACAGCGGTGCACAAATTTTGGACGATTTCTTTTTTTTTTCTTTACAAAAATTTATTCTCATCAAACTGTCGTTATCATGGCTGTGTTGTTATAATATTTTTACCATTGCCACACTTTGGCTTAGATATTCAAAATCTCAAATTTTCGAAGGATAAAACAGGGCGTGTAGCCGTTGATCCGCAAGGCTTATTTCTTTAGAAGGTTTCTTTTATTTAGCAAAATATGAGAACGTTTTCATTAAAAAGTTAAATTTATTGCTTATAATTAATTATAGTCTCCCCCTGAATAACAACCTTAATTCCCCAAAATATTCAAGGAATAAAATTTCAAAAAAATGATCTAATTTATTTGTTCGGAAAGTGTGTGATTTGCACAACTCGATCTCGAATTGATATTTGTAATCATTCGGCGAAAAATTTTTCGATAACATTCCACTTTTATGAAATACTACAGGTTATGGGAAAAAATTGTTTCCCAGCTGCATACGGCGGTTCTACCACATATTTGTATGTCAAATAAATTTTTCTATTAGGTTAGAATAAAAACTTTAAAGGAAAGTGATTAATCCTTCTTAATATTACAAAATAAATAGAGTGAAACGAAAAATTGATTCTTCATTCTTTTCAATTTATAATTTTATATACTAATTACTCTTTCTGGTTAACCATAGTGTTACTTCAATAAAAAGGAATGTGAGTAATATAAAACGGTCGCATTTTTTTTTCCCCGAATCTAAACCTTTATTGAATAATAGGGGTTAAAAAATTTCATTTTTAGACATAATTTTCCAGATGCATAATTAAAATGAGCCAGTTCAACAGGTTCATCTTAAAGAATGATAAATGGCGATCTCGGCTCCTTCATCTAGGTAAAGTTTTTTTTTTTTTTTTTTTTTTTTTCAAGTACTGATCCTGTTCGCCCGTATTATTTGATTTATCACCAACTTTTTTAAATCCTATGCCAATTTCCATAATTCCTGTCAAAATATCACAGGAGGGTGAAAAAATTGTTAATAAATCGGTAAGTATTAACAAATATTCTTACATTCTAAGTAATCCATCCTAGGTCTGCATAATCAAATGAATATCTTTGATATTTCAAATAACAAGCAATTATAATTATTTTAATACAAATATAAGCAATAGTAATAATTATATAATATAAAATTCCTATAACATAAAAAAAGCTATTATAAAAAAATTTTAAAAAAATTATTATTAATTTTTATTTTTAAATACTAATATAAAAGTTTATTTTAATCAAATATAATCAAATATAATAAATAACATATTTAAAATTCATTTTATTTTTAAGTAAATTTTAATTTTAAAATTTTTAAATAATACCTTTTTATTATTTAAATTTCATATCGTTGCAACTAATTGTAACCCTGTGATACTTATTTATCACCTGTTACAATTAGTTGTAACTCAATTTTTATTAATATTACAATCAATGCTTATTTACACTGATTGCAACTAATTGCAATATCATCTTTAGTTATATATATAATTTTTTTATTTAAATTATTATCAATAAAAAATTTTTTTAAAAGATTTATCATATCTATATTTTATATAATTATTATAATTTTTCTTAAATAATTCTATAAGTTTAATAAAAAAAATAATTATTTAAATATTTTATTTATTAAATATATATAATAAATTATATAATTTAAATATAATTTTAGATATGAATAAAATAGCATTATAATTAGTTACAATTAGTGATTAATAAACAACACTAGTTGTAATATTAATAAAAATTAAGTTATAACTAATTGCAACTGATAACAAATAAACATTATAGAATTGTAACTAGTTGCAATGTCGCTTTATATATAACTATTACATATAAATTTTAAACAAATAAAAAACTTCAATTTTTATTATTTTTAAATTTATAAAATATTTATATAAATTAATTATATATATATTATTAAATAAAATCAATAATAAATTATATAATTAGTAATGTAATTTGATTAATAATATTCTATAATACTATATTTAATTTATATAATAAATAAATTATAATTAATTTATTTATTATATTAAATATATTAATTATATTAGAAATATTAATATATTAGATATATCATATATATAATAAATTATATTTCAATATGAATTGACAAATTACTAATTAAATTATATTTTGACAAATTTAATTATTTTATTAATAAATATCAAAATTGATATAATTAATTTTAATATCAAATTAATTAATACTAAAGTCTATAATAAATAAAAAAAAAAATTAAATTATTTATCTTAAAAAACTTATAATTTATTAATTATAAATATTAATAAATATAAATTAATTTTTATTTTAATTTTAAATTTTAAAAATATTTTTTAAAATTTGATTTAAATATTAATACTAATTTGTATAATTTAAGAATTTATATTAATGTTTTTTTACTTAATAAAATTTAAATAAAATAATTTTATTAAATAAACTAATTTAAAATTATTTATCTAAATTCATTTTGAATTTGACAAAATCTCTAAATTTTAGTTTTACTAATTTTTTATTAAGGTTTTAATATAGTTTCACATTTTTATAAACTTTAATATAGTTTACCTTTTCTAGAATTTCACAAATTTTTTAATAAAATTTTAATATAATTTTACCTTTTTCCATTTATACGACTTATAAAATCTTTAGATTTTATTTAATAATCTTAAACTGATTACTAAAAAAAACTGATATTGTGATCAGATGATTAAATATGACTAATCTACATAGTATGATCTAAGTAATAATATAATTGATATAGTTAATATAATTAATCTATCAGACATATTTAATATATTTTATATATTTAATTGAGTTAATATAATTAATTTAGTTAATTTAGTTAAATTTAGTTGAAATAATTAAAATTTTTAATATAGTTGAAAAAGCTGATATAATTAATATATTAATCTATATATTTGAAAATATATATATAGGACTTAGTTCTTTAAACTTTTTAGGTAGATCTAAAGTTAGATTTAATTACACTTAATAGAATTCTTTAATAATTTGTATACATTTAGGCTATTAAAGTAATACTTAATTTCATTTATTACCTTTTATCTTTTATTCAATTATCTTTATTATTTCTTATTTCTTCTTACATTTCCTTATATTTTATCAATAAACTATTTTTATCATAAACTATCAATGTATAATACTTTAATTACAAATATTGTTTATAAATATTCATACTTAATATAAATACTATTTGATATAATCATGTATTTTTCTATATAAATTTAAAAAGAAACAATCTTTAACACCTTGTTTAATTATTACAATTCATAAGAATTACACATTAACAATATTAAATTTTTATATTTTTTATTTTTCTTAATATAAAATCAAACTAGATTATTTTTTAAAAATAAACAACTTATTTATTTATTATATAAAATTCTAAAAAATAATATAAAGTAAAAATAATAAAAATATATATAATTAATTTTTAAATATTATAAATTTTTTTTATTTTTAGAACAAAACTTAATATAATTAAAATTTAAATTTAAAGATTACAGTTAACTCTTATTATAATAAATTCTATGTCTTAGACCTTAACTTCACTATAAAACTATAATAAAGATTTTAAGAAATTTGATTGGTCAATTCATTATAACAAGAGTATTTTTATTATATTTATTCAAAAAATTTATTATATTAAGAGTTTGCTATATCAAGAGTTAACTGTATATCTATAATTATATTATAATATAAATTGATGAATTACTAATTAAATTGTATTTTGACAGATATAATTATTTTATTAATAATTTGATATTATCAAAATTAATTTATTAAAATTTATCTATAATATAGTATTTTTAAATTAAATTATTTATAAAGAATTATAATATTAATATTAATATCTTTCTATATACTATTTTATTTAATAATAAATATTATTTTAAAAAAAAAATTTTAAGTATTAATCAATAAATAATAATTATTACACAATTTTTTTATGAGAATTTATATATATATGTATAGCAGAAAAAATAGGTAAATTTCCTATATAAATTTATTATTTTTATACTTATTCTTTTAACTAACTAGAATGTTAACCTCTATATTATAAATTATATAAATTTACTAAGGTTTAAAATATTAATAAAAAGTTCTTGAATATTAAAATTATAATATATTTTTTATATTATAAAAATTTCTATTTTCAAAAGACTAGAGTGTTAAAATTAATAAATAATAATTCTTAAATTTAAAATAATTTTAGAGTTAAAATATATATATTATTAATTTTAAATTTTTAGATTATTATAAAGCTAAAAAATTAAATAAATATAAAATATCAATTTAAATCTTAAAAAACTAAATAAAATATACTTAAATTTTTACTTTAAAATTTAATTTAATTAACTAAGATATTAAATTCATATATTACAAATTTTATAAATTTACTAAGTTTAAAATTTAATAAAAAAATTCTAAAATACTAAAATAGGACCCTGAACTAGAGGTATGCTCTGATGAAATCTGTTCAATCCATCATCCAATCTGATCAAAAAATGGATCATTCGGATTATGAATGAACAGATCGCGAATAATCTGGATGTGATCCTCAGATAATATCAGATTGATCAGATGTTATGCAAATGACTGGATTGATCAGATAATCCAGTCATTTTATTTTATTTTTTATTTTTTTTAAAAAAAAAACACCTTTTTTTTCTTTAAAATCGACATGAACATGGACTTGGACTTCGGAATTTAGGATTAATTGGAATAGGGGTAAATTCAGTTTTTTTTTTTGGAGTTACTAACATTCCTTTCTTTCTTTTCTTTAGGGGACGCCTTCTTGGACCTGGATTTTGGCTTGGGTTATAAAAGTAAGTTAGGTGTGGGTTTTTTTTTGTTTTTTTTTGTCTTTCTTTGTCTTTGAAACGCCATTAACGTTCCTTTTGTTTCGTTTCTTTAGAGAACGCCTTCCTGAACCTGAATTTCAGCTGGGCTATAAAGGTAAGTTAGTGCTTTTGTTTTTTCTTTGTCATTAGGAACATCATTAACGTTCCTTTTGCTTCTTTTCTTTAAGGAATGCCTTTCTGGACCTGGATTTAGCTTGGACTATGAAGGTAAGTAGTGGTGTAGAGATATTGTTTTTGTTTCTTCTTTGTCTTTGAAATACCATTAACGTTCCTTTACTTCTTTTCTTTAGAGGGCGCCTTCCTAGACCTGGATTTCAGCTTGGAATATAAAGGTAAGTGGTGTAGGGATATTGTTTTTGTTTCTTCTTTGTCTTTGAAATGCCATTAACGTTCCTTTTGCTTCTTTTCTTTAGAGGACGCCTTCCTGAACCTGGATTCGGCTTGGAATATGAAGGTAAGTGGTATGAGGGTATTGTTTTTGTTTCTTCTTTGTCTTTGGAACGTCATTAATATTCCTTTTGCTTCTTTTCTTTAGGAGGCGCCTTCCTGGACCTGGATTTCGGCTTAGGATATGAAGGTAAGTGGTGTAGGGGTATTGTTTTTGTTTCTTCTTTGTCTTTGGAACGCCATTAATGTTTCTTTTGCTTCTTTTCTTTAGGGAACGCCTTCCTGGATTTGGATTTTAGCTTAGATTATGAAGGTAAGGTGGTGTGGGGAATTGTTTTTGTTTCTTTATCTTTGGAACACCATTAACGTTCCTTTTGTTTCTTTTCTTGTAGGATTTTTGTTTTTCTTTGTCTTTAGAACGCTATTAACGTTCTTTTTGCTTCTTTTCTTTAGGGAACGCTACCTGGACCTGAATTTCGATTTAGACCATAAAGGTAAGTTGTGGTGGATTTTTTTTTTCTTTTTTATTTTTAGAATGTCATTACCAGTTCTTTTGCTTATTTTCTTTAGGGAATGCCTTTCTGGATCTGGATTTCGACTTGAGCTATGAAAGATAAGTTAGAAGGGTATTTTTTTTTTATTTTTCATTTATTTTTCTTTAAAAATCATTTACATTT